AAAAAAACTTGCCAAATAGAATCAGTAGGACACAAGCAGAACAGCTTTTCAGAAATCTGCTAGCTTGCAGGTACACACTTGCTCACTCCAATAAGACAGCAATATATTTTTCAAATGTTCAACTCCTCCCAAAACTTAAATTCAAGAAAACTCTTGCCAGGGCACCCCTCTGGACATGCAGTGCAATTCAGAGAATTTCAAAGAAAACAAGCTGGGAGATGAAGCATCTCCCAGTCCCACAGTGACCTCACAAGCAATAAAGCAGCAGAGCTGGGAATCAAGGTCTGCTAAGGTAACGAGCAAACAGCTCCCGAGGTCGCGGTCGTGAGCAGCGTCGCAACGCTCACCCAACCCACAACACCCAAGGCCCAAGTACACTCAGAACTAGGACAATCCTCCTGGTTTCTGCACATTTAGTGGAAGACGGCAGGGTGTTTTGCCTCATGCACCAGGGATATTGGATCAGAAATGCCTGAACCCACAAAAACAAGCAGGATGAAGCCCTCACTAATAGCTACGTTACTGTCACTCTCACAGTGAGGGAGAGGGGGTGGGATAGAAACAGGGTAGGAGATGCATATTTGGATGCAAGTCTGCTGGCTGGCTTAACTCAGAGGAGCCCCAGAGCAATATTAGGAGGATGGACAAAATTTGCCAATTGAGAGGTGCTCCAGCCATTCACTAATATACAGGTGTCCGTGTCAAATTTGCTCATTCCCATTCAAACTTTTTCCTTTAAGGTTTTTATATCTTACTAGAGTTCTTAGAAATAGTCCTGATGTAATTCAATTTGTCATTCATTGCCAATATATCCAGATTCCACAAAAATGCTCATCACCGATGCTGAACCACCAGCGTGACATTTGTCGTACGTACCTGTGTATAAGGTTGGTCAGGGGCTCAATCAACTTCTTTCCCAGCCTAGGTTCTAATGGAGTAAGAGCACCAAACTATTCAAAAAGCATGGACAAGAAACTGATTTAATATCTGGTTTTAAGCACTGTAAAAAAATCACTTCAATTACAATTCACTAGATTTTACAAAGCTACATTAAACTATTTTTTCCTTCTGTTTGCAAACACTAGGAGAGATTACTAGTTTCTTTTTGTTGTAATGGTAACAATAGCTCAAAGCAGGGGATCTATTTCCACACCCCAAGTTAGGGAATGAGAATCCCAAGCCTGCAAAGAGAGATCTAGAACACTCACCAATTTTATAATTTTAATGAGAACCCAATTGTTCGTTGACGACGTCATCAACTTGAAAAACAGCGGAGCCAGGGAAAGGTAGTTTTTGGGATTGCGTCTAGCCAGCTCACAAATAACATTTACTGCAGCAGACTGCACGCCTAAAACACAGGTGGGAAAAGCAGAAATCTCATCACAGGCTTCACAGCAACTGCTGTTTCTGGTGCAGAATATGCTGAACAAAAGCGGTTAAAGATTCAGATTCACATCTGAGTCTTTTGAGCCATACCTTAAAAGAGTCTCACTGCCAAGACTGAGGCAAGGAACAAAAAATAAGAACACAAAGCAAACTGGAAAAGGGTTTAATTAATTTGGGCTGCTCTCGTGTTTTGGTTGCTTTATGATCTTTGAACAAGCTGAGGTCTTCCTTAGGTCAGGGAACAGGGCATTGTTATTCCTTTCCTGTTCTGAGGACAGCTTGTTTGTAGAAGACAGACGTTATAATCAATAGCCCTACCCATCACCAGGCTTCGAGACACTTGTTTCTTTAAAATAATTATTTTGGACCTTTTTTTTTTTTTTTTTTTTAATTAAAACAGTTGCAAGAAAAGTAAAGTCTTTATCTCATTCAGCATACTCATTTCTTTTTTAGCCTCAAAATCCATTCCCCCCCCCCATTTGGGAGTCCTTTATTCTAGGTAGTCCAGGTTTTCTAGTAGAAAAGACTTTTTATAAAGCATTTTCATAAAACATCATTAATAAGCCTATTTCCTTCTCCTCTGTTTTTTTTTAAATCACCCCAGAAAGCTGGATCTTACATACTCTTACCAATTAGTCCAACACACATATTTAAATTTCTCTCTAAACACACACATGCAAGCACACACATGTAAATACAAAACCCAGGGATTATACAGTTTTAACAGCGTTACCTATGAATAAGAAAAGCGATGCTGCTAAGAATGCATTATTGATACGGTAAATTCAGCTCATCCACCTATTAAACGATGAATCAGTACACCAAAGATGGCCACAAAATATTTGCATGTTCTCTCTTTCCACCAAGTCTCAAGACATTTATATCTAGGTGCTTTTGAGCAGAATTTATGAAAATACACTCACCAGGGTCTGGATCTTCAAGTTTCTCTTTAAGGCGAGGAAATGCAGGACGGAGGGACTCTGGGTACTTCAAAAAGACTTTGTACATGATTAACACTGCTTTCTTCCTTATATAAGGCTTCGTATGAGACATCTGTTAGTGAAACAACTGAGATCAGACTCTAACAAATTTACATTTCCAGAACTCATCTCAGGGTCCGCATCTCAACATCAGTAGCTCTCAAAAATGTTCTCTAAGGATTTTGGCTATTTTTAAACAACTCAGCTTCTGAAGAGAGAAAAAAAATACCGCCATTTATCCCTCAAAATAGCAGATAAATACAAAGTTATCCTTTTTAGCTAACTAACATCTGTGAAGGCTCCCCAAAAGTCTTACAAAAATATCAAAGTGTTAGTTCTTACTTGCAGTTCAAAGTTCAACAGATATTTACCAGATTCAAATGATTTAAACTTTCTTTACACATCTACATATGGCAAAAGACTGGTCTGTCTTATCAACTCACCAGCGTCATGATGTCATTTGCCAAGTCCCTGGCAAGATCTGGAGTAACAAAACAGGACAAGCCAGTCAGTGCAACTCCGGTATCATATTGGTTAGGGCTACTCAGATCCTAAAAAAGGAAAAAAAGGCTCAAAAATTTAAGATTTAACAAGAAGTAGAGAAACAACTTTCTCAGAACAGTTTTAGTCATTCGTTATGAAGACTTCCTATTTCATGGGAACATTTATACTAACTACTGAGGGATGCCATCCAATCCCCACTAAAATACACTTAGCCCGGGGTTTAATAAAGGGCATGAAGCATCAGAACTAAACAAGGAAAGGAAGACATATCAGATCATATACCCCAGACACAATCAAAAATCTCCCAAAAAATATCAGAAATTAAATCGAAAAATCCCAAATTATATAGTATTAATTCAAAATTGCCATCACTTCACTGTAACCTCATGGTGTCTTTTAGTGCCCACCTTAACTTCTCTGTTACAGAAGAGAAGCTGTCAGTAAACTAGAAGGAAAAAAATCAACTCATGACTTTCAGTCCAAGAAGACAAAATACAAGCCAGTGTGCCTATCTGAAGCTAGTATACCATATTTTCTTTCAAGTATTTCTAAGATTCAAACTGTTAAATAAATTAATATTCCTATGTGCATATATTCTAGTACGAATTATAAAATCAGAGCTCATGATACACAGCAAGCCCAAGTTTGATCAGTTCTTACTGGAAGGAAACAGTCCCTCCTGTAAGTTCACAAAAACCAGATGACTGATCAGTTTATCTCAGGAACAGAGACCTCACGCTGAGCCACTGCCTTCTTACGAGGGCTGCCTGACACACTGATGTTGTCACTGATATTGTGCTATGCTCTTCACCTGGCACTGTGCTGAGTAAACGTACAGCTGGATGAGATGGCAGGAGGGAACCTAAGGACAAGTACCAAGCATTTGATGCCCTCAGATTGTGGAACGAAAGCAGACCATGACAGAATTCCACTTGGACCTTTCTGCGTTCCCCTCCCAAATGGTATTTTTTATAGATTTGAAGTTACAGGTCAGGCGACCACACACAAAAAAAGAAGCTTGAAAACTGAAGACAAAAGTTTACCTTTCGGATTTGATTCGTTGTCAGCATAATTACATCAGTCCCTTCATGGAAACACTGAGAGGCAGCTAGGTAACCAATTCTCTGTAAACAAGATAGCGGGAGAAAGCTGGTTATTTATAAGCTCAGACAGTGCTCAAATTAAAAACTATTAGCTTCACTATAGCAAATTTTTATTATTGCTGTTAGCTAGTTTTAATTGCACAAAGAACTTACCTTGAACGTAAACTTTGATGCACTCATGACTTCAATAATATTGAAAGCAGCCCAACTGATGTCATAGCCCAGCATCTGCAACTGTTAACAGAGCCAAGACAACAAAGTTGTAAAACAAGATACTTGAGAAAATAGTCGGATACCTTAAATTAAAGATGGAACCAGGTAAGAGTCCAAAAAACAGTACTGTAAGTTATCTAAAGGTGGGGCTAATGCTACATTCCATGTCACACTGTAAAAGCATAAAAGCTGCACCAGAAGCAAGTTTTAAAAGTTTGCCTAACTTCAGGCACCACATTTGCAATTACTGACATATCATTGGGGAAGATTTTTATTCCCAGTTTGGTTGAGCTTGATTTTTGTTTTCCCCTTTCAAAGGGAGGAGAAGGAAGAAAACAATTAAGAAAACCCCTTTCTTCAGCAGCATTTTCCCCCTTTCTCCACAGAGGCCTGAGCAAAGAGAAACTGAGATCCGAGTTTCAAATACTTGTGTAATCACGTGGGAACTTAGGCAAGAATTACCATGGTTGAAGTTGATGGCTTCTTTTGTTTGAGTAGCTTGCAGTCAGCAAGAAGGACAGAAAGTTATAGATAATGTTACATTATGTCCCAGCAAGGCACTTACGTATGTAAGTTTGCAGACTGCATTTGCTTTCACTGCAATATTATCCTGCTTTAGTTCCTGCTTGATCTCATCGATGCACTGGGAGATGTATTTCGCCTGAGGGAAATGAAGAAAAGAAAGTTACTTTCATGCTCATTTACCACAGAACATTCGGTTTTGTAGGCTTCAAGCCTGTTAACTCAGAGAGGAAAGCTAAACTCATCATTTGTAAGCACCAAATTTCCCACATCCACATTATCTAGGTAGGCACTTAATTTTGATGGAAACTCTCATTAACCAGGAACATCATGCTTTATTACAAAACCTGAAATCCACAGAAAGGTTTCTTCAGGGCATTTCCTTCCCCTCATTATACTGTTCAGTCCAGAGCTCTCATTTCAAAGATTTGTAAAGAAAAGCTGCCCAATGAATAGTGTGTTTCACTGCTCTTAGAACATATATTAGCCACTAACCTCAATGCAAAGTCCAAAATTACTTAAGTGTATAGAGAGAGGGGAAAAAAAAAAAAAAAGGCACTATAAAAGGACTATAAATAGCCCACAGGTTTAAGCGACTGATGAAAATACAAGTTACCCTTGTTTGGGCATCCTGTGCCTACAACACTGTGTATGTACACACAAAACAGCCCTTGCACGGGAAAGGACAAGCACAGGTATCTGAGCTGAAGACAAGGTAAAAATACTTTTAGCTGGAACTTGTTAACTATTTCCATTTATTCAAAAAATGCCAAAGTTAAGGTACTGCCCTGGTGCGTGTTTTAAGTAAGGATCTTGCTATTTACACGTTTTGGTAAGCAACACCTCTTTATTTGTACAAGTCTCAATAAGTAGGAGAGCTAAACATTGATGTTTGCACTTAAATATTTGGCCTTTGTTTCTTTTCAATCATGTCTGTGCTTGTGGGAAGGATATGGCAAACACGATTTTTAAATGTGTACAGATTTTTACTTTATAAATAGGCTTAATTCAGACAGAGACTCTTTCAGATTACAATTAACTATGATTAAAGTGTTAAAGGCATCTGCTAGAGATATCATAAAAGATTTAAAGACAGAGAAATAATCTCTCTTAGAAAGTCACATACGCACTGAGGTATTTATCATTCAATAAAAATCAACTGTAAGAGGAACCAGGCCAGAAGCAGCTTACCTAACTGCAAAGCAAAATTCTGCACAAATACTATTATTTTCCACTAAAACATTTTTCAACATCAAAGTTCAACTATTAACATTTCTCCTCTTTATACTAGAATTAATGCATTATTCCCATGAAGTTTACTTGCTTCATGGTTCTTTGACCATTTACACTGTCCTTATACTTCTAAGTATGAAATTCAGCAGTTCAAATTGGAGGATGCTACTCTTAAACAGATGAGAATAAAAATACTTTATATAAGGTGTGAAGTGCAAAGTGCAAAGTGAAGTGCAAACTACTGTGACCCAAGGGAAGAAAAGCAGCATCTGAATTTTAATGCAGGGACTTTATGCTCTGAGCCACACTCACATAACGACCACTTACACTGCTGCAATTTAGAGTCTAGCGATCCCAGAATTGGAACCCACCACCAAGATACAAGGTGAATAAATGCTCTTCAGGGCAGGAGCTGTCTCCTTGGGTTAACAGCTTCAAAGCAGACTGAATAATTTGACTTTTTTTTCTCTCAAATCTTGAGGTTAGAGATATAAAGCTGATTTCTCATGGCATGATCCGCTCAAGTGAAATTGTACCATTATTGAGACACTTTGGTGAACCTCAACGCTTGGCCTGTTCCTGCAGTCCCGCTCTTGAGGATAGCTCAACTCAGAAGGCACTGGGATCAGAAAACTAGCAAAGGAATTTACTTTAAGAAATGTAACATAATCCCAAATACCCATATCTGGAAAGAAATAACACCACAGAGAGGTTTTCATGTCTGCAGATGTACTAACCACCAAACAACTCTTATCCCTACAGAGAGCAGCTGTCCTCTTGGAGATGGGGAAGTGAGCACCTCCACCAGAACAGGAGAGGGCTGCTCTCAAGTAGAGAACTATCCCAAGTCACAAAGATTAGGGATTTTAGATCCTTCTCAGCCTGAAGGGGAGTCATGCCCAGGCAGCTTCCATAGAAAGTTTAAACTCAAGCGTTCGAAGTCAAAGCTTTTGGTAGTAGGCAAAATACATGTGAACAGAGACGCTGAAAGAACCACTTACACAACATGCAAGTAATCTAGAAATACATTGTACCTACCCTTGAATTTTTTATGCACAGAGCAGCATGCTGGAACAGTGTCACTGAATCCTTCCCATGTGTATCTGGTTGCCACATTTCAGCCAACAACATCAGAGCCAGCTTTCAAAGCCAGACTCAATGCAGGTTCTCATTCTTGATGCCCATGTACAGAAAGCATTACTGGCATTTCCCAAAACTCGATCCCCAAACTGTTTGAACGTTAGCTTAACGCTCCCAAACATCTCTCCGGTCACTGTTCAAACCCACGGCCTCTGCAGCCTGCAGGCAAATCCTGCTCTATGAATCAGCCTAACATAATAACCAACTTGCTTAAAAGGGGGTGAGAAAGCAAGAAAAATAGATCTAATAAGCTAATAAAATACAAGATTTTTGAAAAGCACAAAAGTCTTTCCTGAATATCTGTACATCAAATTCTAAAAGACTACAAGGAACAAAAGGTACTATAGATAGCAAGCTTTAGAGGATCAGGGGGTATTAACATTTCGATAATCTCTGTGGAGTAACACTGGTGTGAATAGGCGATACAAACAAAACTGATCTATTTTTAGCCTTGCATTATCATTCAAAATCCAACAATCAGCTCTCAGCCACATCTGCTACCACAGTTAGTGTCTAAATAAACAGGAAGGAAACAAGTACTCAAATGTGCTTCTCCAGACCAGTTCTTGCTAATCCGAGAGCTGTCTTTGCAGAATCCCAGACTGGGCATTTTCACACGGAGCGATACCTTCAACTCTCCATGACAGCTTCAAGGGTGCTCGATGCAGGCTGCAGAACTAGGCTAAAATTCAGAATTCACACTTGATGCAATGAAGTGTCTCTCTTTTTTTTTTTTTTTTTTAAAGCATCTGTCAGCATGGTAGACAGAACAAGGCCTAGATATTTGCAGGAGAGAAACATTTACATATAAACCAGGCCAAAATCTGGATGCTTGTACCAGCATTGATTCATTGATAGCCCACAGAGAAATTCCTCCAATATAGTAACTTTGTAGCATGGTTAAAAAAAAAAAAAAAAAAAAGTTTCCAAGGTTGTAAAAGGCTCATGTTTTCCTAAAATATTTTATATAACCCAAGGAGGAAAGACAAGAAATGGAAAGAAAAAGGAATGCAGAAAGAAAATATTTCAGAATTTGTTTATTCTCCCAGTATTGATTATAATATTTGCATGCTTTGTAACTATTATGTTCCTTAACTCTATCTTACCTGAAGCCCTCGCAAGAGGGTCACTTCTGGCCAGTCAACTAAGGAAAACACTGAAGTCGATACCTACACATCTCCAGCCATTCCCAGACTGCAGCTCTAAGAACACTTCACTTCTGCAGCTAAGGATGAGCAGAGCCATCAGGCAAAAGGACATTATCAGAATGGCAGCAAAGTGCCCACAGGAGTATGGATAACCCAGGGAAAAGTGTCACGGGAAGGAAGGGATCTTCTTATTCTTGTTGGACTGTCAAGCAGGATGGCAGCCCCTCCCAATGCCCCGGGAAAGGCTCCTTAAGTTAAATGCTACAGCAACCACTTTAGGGGTTGTTTTTTCTCACATATTGCTCAGAAGAAGAAAGATTATGGAAATATTAGCAGCAGCATAGCTAAAACCCAAATAAAGCAAGCAGATGAATAGGGTAATCACACTGCAAAGCTGTGAATACAGCACAGAGTCATAACTGCCATTCCTTAATGTATTCCATCAGGCAGATGTGGCAAGCATTTCTGCATCCGTTTCCAAAATGTACATGGTGATTTTAAGAACAGGTCTGAATTTTTCAGGAGCTCCAAGACCGCACCCAGAAAATATGTGTATTTAAGCTAATGCAAACGGCTAAAGTGAGGGTGGAGGAATCAAGAATGAAAATAAGACATAAGCCCATTGAAACTAAGAGCAGAGAGAAAAGTGGGTCATGGTAAGAAGCCAAAACTTCAACTTATAAGGTTTTTCATTCTCCAGCTTCTCAGCTTCCACCAAGCCAGGTTTTTTGAATTAACTTTGAAAAGTACCAAAACTTTATTCCAGCCTCCAGAGAACCTGGAATTCACTATTTGAGAGAGGTTTACAAAGGACTGATTGGTTGTTGTTTGTCAAGAAGCACAGAAGGAAGAAATTTGCAAAAAATACCCTCCCTCCCCAAAAAACAACCCACTAATACACCTAAACAGTTACATTCTTCAAAATACAATCCTTTATCTGCATTCAAAATTTAGTATTTCACAGGATATAAAAGGACACTAATAATTAGAATATCATTTCAGTATTTTTACATTAAATTTAATCATGAAAACTATCCATTTTCAGTTACTTTAAGGAAGCTGCACCCTCATTTCAGCCACATATCAGTCATGTGAAGTCAACAGAAGGCAAATTGCTATTAATTCTGCTGAGGATTGCAGTCAAGCAAACCAAGGCAAGGAAATCCTCCACCCAGTCCCTACCAGCATCTCTATCCAGTGCATCTGCCATGGATTATTTGTTTTGTTGATTTTCACCTGCCACTTACTGAAACAGCAAAGTTTTTTTTTCATCCAGATTAAAACAGAAAAACACCAGAGAGCATCAGCCCCTACTTGTCTTGCTCTTTCAAGGTTAAATACACTGTTTTAAGGTGATTACTAAGAGTGAATGCCACAAGGCCTAAGGCACAATCTAAAATAAATGTGTAATTATCACTGTAAAACAAACTGGAATAAGAACATAAAGAGAACTGAAGCAGTTGTAGAATATGGCCTGTGTTTTAAACACTGCAGGATTTATGAGGTGTTCTTTTTAAGCACTTTGAGTTTAAGCGTGCCTCTCCACAAACTCACCTTGAGTGCAAGCACATGACACGATCTCACATGAGAGCGAAGCACTGGCTGCACCGACTTCCAG